GAATAAAAACCATATGATCATCTCAATAGATGCAGAAAAGCTTTTGACAAAATTCAACACCCATTTATGATAAAAACTCTCCAGAAAGTGGGCATAGAGGGAACCTACCCCAACATAAGAAAGGTCATACACAACAAACCCACAGCAAACATCATTCTCAATGGTGAAAAACTGAAAGCATTTCCTCTAAGATCAGGAAGAAGACAAAGATGTCCACTCTTACCACTATTATTCAACGTGGTTTTGGAAGTCCTAGCCACGGCAATCAGAAAAGAAAAAGAAATAAAAGGAATCCAGGGCTGCCCTGGTGGCTCAGTGGTTGAGAATCTGCCTGCCAATGCAGTGGACACGGGTTCGAGCCCTGGTCTGGGAAGATACCACATGCCACAGAGCAAATGGGCCCGTTAGCCACACCTACTGAGTTTGCGCGTCTGGAGCCTGTGCTCCGCAACGAGAGAGGCCACGACAGTGAGAGGCCCGTGCACCACGATGAAGAGTGGCCCCTGTTCGCCGCAACTAGAGAAAGCCCTCGCACAGAAACGAAGACCCAACACAGTCAAATAAGTAAATAAATAAATTTATTTAAAAGGAATCCAAATCGGAAAAGAAGAAGTAAAGCTGTCACTGTTTGCAGATGACATGATACTATACAAAGAGAATCCTAAAGATGCCACCAGAAAAGTACTAGAGCTAATCAATGAATTTGGTAAAGTTGCAGGACACAAAATTAATGCACGCATTCCTATACACTAAGGATGAAAAATCTGAAAGAGAAATTAAGGAAACACTCCCATTTACCACTGCAACAAAAAGAATAAAATACCTATGAATAAACCTACCTAGGGAGACAAAAGACCTGTATGCAGAAAACTATAAGATACTGATGAAAGAAATTAAAGATGATACAAACAGATGGGGAGGTATACCATGTTCTTTGATTGGAAGCATCAATATTGTGAGAATGACTATACTCCCAAAGCAATCTACAGATTAAATGCAATCCCTAACAAATTACCAATGGCATTTTTTACAGAACTAGAACAAAAAAATCTTAAAATTTGTATGGAGACACAAAAGACCCTGAATAGCCAAAGCAGTCTTGAGGGAAAAAAACAGAGCTGGAGGAATCAGACTCCCTGACTTCAGACTATACTACAAAGCTACAGTAATCAAGACAATATGGTACTGGCACAAAAACAGAAATACAGATCCACGGAACAAGATAGAAAGCCCAGAGATAAACCCATGCACCTATGGTCAACTAATCTATGACAAAGGAGGCAGATATACAATGGAGAAAAGACAGTCTCTTCAATAAGTGGTGCTGGGAAAACTGGACAGCTACATGTAAAAGAATGAAATTAGAACACTCCCTAACACCATACACAAAAATAAACTCAAAATGGATTAGAGACCTAAATGTAAGACCAGACACTATAAAACTCTTAGAGGAAAACATAGGAAGAACAGTCTTTGACATAAATCACAGCAAGATCTTTTTTGATCCATTTCCTAGAGTAATGGAGATAAAAACAAAAATAAACAAATGGGACCTAATGAAACTTAAAAGCTTTTGCACAGCAAAGGGAAGTACAAACAAGACGAAAAGACAACCCTCAGAATGGGAGAAAATATTTGCAAATGAATCAATGGACAAAGGATTAACCTCCAAATATATAAACAACTCATGCAGCTCAATATTAAAGAAATAAACAACCCAATCCAAAAATGGGCAGAAGACCTAAATAGCGATTTCTCCCAAGAAGACATACAGATGGCCAGGAAGCACATGAAAAGCTACTCAACATCACTAATTATTGGAGAAATGCAAATCAAAACTACAATGAGGCATCATCTCACACCAGTTAGAATGGGCATCATCAGAAAATCTACAAACAACAAATGCTGGAGAGGGTGTGGAGAAAAGGGAACCCTATTGCACTGTTGGTGGGAATGTAAATTGATACAGCCACTATGGAGAACAGTATGGAGGTTCCTTAAAAAACTAAAACTAGAATTACCAGGTGACCCAGCAATCCCAGTACTGGGCATATACCCAGAGAAAACCATAATTCAAAAAGACACATGTACCCCAATGTTCATTGCAGCACTATTTACAATAGCCAGGTCATGGAAGCAACCTAAATGCCCATCGACAGACTAATGGCTAAAGAAGATGTGGTACATATATACAATGGAATATTACTCAGCCATAAAAAGGAACGAAATTGGGTTTTTTGTAGAGACGTGGCTGGATCTAGAGACTGTCATACAGAGTGAAGTAAGTCAGAAAGAGAAAAACAAATATCGTATATTAACACATATATGTGGAACCTAGAAAAATAGTACAGATGAACTGGTTTGCAGGGCAGAAACAGAGACATAGATGTACAAAAGAAACGTATGGACACCAAGAGGGGAAAGTGGCAGGGGGTGGTGGTGGTGGTGTGATGAATTGGGAGATTGGGATTGACATATATACACTAATATGTATAAAATGGATAACTAATAAGAAGCTACTGTATAAAAAAAATAAAATCAAATCAAAAGAAAAAAAAAAAGAGCTGGTCCCTCTGGTGTTTCCTAATCTGGCAGAAATGACTTGCAAATGTTGGCCTGGCTTCAAGATCCCCAGACACAGTAGGAAGCATGACGTGTTTCCAACTGAATGACCTGTTCACTGCTGAGCTAATGTATTCTTTTGCCAGGAGTGATTCAGGACTTTTAGAAAATCGAAATTCAGAAAATGAATGCACGCATTGTTTAAAACTAAGAATCTTATTTTTCTGCTTTATCTGCTGGTCCATTTTTTGTTTGTGTGGGTTATCCATGCAAGAATTTTGTGAGACCTGACATCTTATAGAGATCAGAAATACTGGGCATATATTATGCTATGAGAAGACAGATATACAGTGTTGTGAGGGCACATGCAGATCATATTGTGGTGGTTAAGGGGATGGGCTCTGGAGTCGGGTAAACTTATTATGTAACTGCTTGGAGCCTTGGTTTCCCATCTGTACAACGGACATAATGAGAGCACCTACTTGACTGGTGATTGCAAATTCAATGAGATTATACACATAAAAAGACTAGAATAGGGCCTGGTCTAGTGTGCGCAGTCAGAAAATGATAGCAAATACTTCTCATGGGATTAAAAGGCTCAGGAGGAGATACAAGAAACAATTTCATTCTCAGCATCAACAGTCTAAATTCCTAAAATTATTCCCTAGGTGATCATCTTCTCTAAAGGAAACTTATATTTGCTTATGTTTTTGTGATCACACACACTTTTCAAAGAATTGTATACTTTAAAATATCTACTGAAATGAAGTGTGCTTCCCCTAAAGTAATCTGTAATTGGAATATTTATACATGTTTGTGAGAGGTGAACAACCTCCTTCAAAACATCGTCCCCCTCCTTCTACTGTTCTACACAACATTCCAGGAGTATTAGGTGAGTACTGCAAGTCCTGGCGAAGTGGTAAAAAAAACCCTGCAGTGTTCTCTCTTCAAGACTAATAGGGAAACCTCTGGCTATTTCCTCAAACTGTAAAAATGTCTGTGTCTAGAACCTCACGAGAAATCTATTAACACAAATCTTGAAATAAATTAAGAATCCTATCATACCTCAGTGGAATAGTCCCGAGCAGAAGTTCCCCAAACTACAAGCATCCAGGAAGAATACTCACTGTTAGTAGGGAGAGATTAATTGGAAATTTCAAACGCCCTATTTTTAACCACAGGCTGATTATCAAATTGATGATCAAGTTTAGTATAAGAAATATTTGTGTGGGGAGAAAATTGAACACTGAATAATTTAATCTGGAGGAGAAAAAAAGATTTGCCCAAAGCATCTGGAATTTTACAAAACTAAACCATCAAACTGTTTTCTATAAAAAAGGAAAGAGAAATAAAAGATAAGGGTATCATCGCCAACACAAATATCAAGTTTAAATGTAAGGAAGGTAATTAGAATTCAAATTAGGTATAATATCTCTGTTTTTAATTGGACCATTAAAAAATCCCACTTTAAGTTTTTGTGGCAAACAATGACCAGTCTTGAGGGTGGAGAAATCTTATTGCCTTCAAATTAGCACCGGATGTTTAAGAAATCAAGTGTCATTTTCAAATTACAACCTCACAAATGTAACAAAACTTTATCTGGATATATTTGAATCATAACTCTTGTTACATAAAAATTTTTATTTGTAATTAGCGAAACATTTTAGGAGAAAGGGGAAGAAACATTTTCATAAAACATAAGAGTATATTCAGGGCCATTTGAAATCTTGGGGCAGAATGAAGCATTATTGAACATCTCAGCATAGTATTGTTCATGTGAGCTCATGAGAGCAACTACATGTGACAGGATGTAAACAACGTGAGAGGAGGCACCAAATTGTAAGTCATCACCTGGGGACGTCTGATGGTATTAGAAGCATTTTTACAGCTTGGAGCATCCCTGCACATAAGCATGTGCTTCATCATATGCAATCACCAAATCGCTCTGTTGGAAATCTCATTGTTTCCATGGCATATTGAGGAGTTATGAAATCAGGAACAAATCCAACTTCTCAACAGTGCTATGGATTAAAAGAAGCCTATGTTCAAATGAATTCTAACCCACAGCCATAGTTCCTACTGAGTTTGTAAGGACAAAGGGAAAAAAAATTAAGGGCATTTAGAATTGCTGTTGAGTTTAAGGTCAATAACGTACTATTCATATAATGGTTGAATTTAGACATTGAGCTCCTTTGAGCAATAATTTGTTACTCTGACACATTCCAATTAGTGTTCCTGACACACATTCCAATGTGTGACACACACATTCCAATTTTACTTTGCAAAACAGGTAATAAGGAATAATAAAACAGAAACCATTTTAGTGCATTTAAAAACTCCACTAATATGCAGTAAACTGAAACATTATAGGATGCTCTCTCCCCTCTGCATTCAGGACAAAGCAAAGCTGTATTCAGCTCAGCCCACCAGAGACTTACATCGTATCCGCTGTTACGGATTCCACGCCGAGGTCGCTCCCGAGTCACCAGAAGGTCCATCTCTGTTTCTCCCGGACTCGGGCTGTTCAGAGATTGCCGACTCCGGTAGACAGAGTTCTTCATCTGTTGCCTGAAGAAAATTCAACAACTGTTATGATGCAGCAAATGCCCTGACAGATGGAATTCTCCACTGATCCAAACTACAGGCAACCAATGAAGGGTTTGGATTTGCTTCACGATTCTCAGAATTGATGGTATTTGTTCCCTGGCCATCAGGGGCTGTAGAAAGAGTAGAATAAAGAATTTTCTTCCACATGCTATAACCATTTGGCTGAATTGTAAATGCTCTTTTGTATGGAAACTAGGTAACTATAATCAATTGCAACACTGCAACCTCATCTAAAATTCTGCTGATGGCAAGGCCAGGGACTCTCCCTTGACCCTCTAGGACAGCTAATGCTGGAAGAACAAACTTGCTTTTGTTAGCTTTGTTGACTTGGCAGCCTCCTATTCCTTTTCATCTTTCTGATTTCACATGCAGGGTTCCATGATGCGTTAACAAATGCTGTGGCTAATGAGCTTCTCAAACACAAGTGTTGATAGATTTTCTTTTCTACCTTTACCACAGTGGATTCCCTTTTGGGCTAAGGAGCTATAAACCAAAAGGCAATTTGGGGCCCATCCATCCATCCATTCATCATTCAGTATTTACTGAGTGGCTACTATTTACCAGGCACTGTGGAAGATGATGAAGATTCACAGTGAGCAAGACAGACATGGCCCTGCTCTCCTGAGCTTACATTCTAATAAGGGAGACAGACAATTTGCATGATAATTTCCAAGAGAAATAAGGGCTAGGAAGCAAAACGAGGTGATGTGACAGATGGCGATAGGATAGGGGATGACTTTAGATAGGATGGTCAGGGAAGGCCTCTCTGGAGAGGTGACATTTTGGCAGACACCTTAACAGAGCCAGCCACATGCCAATCTAGGCATAGAGCATTTCAGGCCCAGGGAGTAGCATGTTCACAGGCTCCACTCAGCTCCCACTAGGAAATGCATCATCACTGTCTTGTTTCCACTTGTCATTAGAGGAATTTTTTGAGGAGGGGGAAGGAAACAGTAACATAGTGAGGGCTGTGGCTGTGCTTTTCTTCTTGCACAAGAGTCAACTCTTAGTAGCAGGGACTTTCACATGATCCTGCAGGGTTCATCCCACAAAGGTGGGATAAAATCACTGGCTACTTCCCTCTCATCCAACAGTAAGTTTCTCTCTGTAAATAACTTGCATTTCAGAGCATCTGCCTTCAGAGAACTCCCCAAACACCACCTATTTTGTGTCTCGGTTCTAAGATTCTATCCATTCAGGGGTTGAAGGTAAAGAGGTTGCATTATTTATTCCCAGTGACTATGGAAGAAACCTGGGACATACAGATATCTTTTCATTGGTCCCACACCCAGTTTGTCACAGCATGACACTCACACACTGTTAGTCTAGAACAGACATTAGAACTCCCAAGGCAAGACACTACCCTTGCAATTAGTCTAGGGAATAAAACACACTATTAGACCGACTCCCTCACCATGAGGAGCTTTTACCTGTTTAGAGAGCCTCTGTGGTCTTTGCTTGCCTGGCACCCAGGACAACCCTCTTTAGGTAAGAGCACAAGGATGTTCTTTGGGGGCCAGCTTTCCTCCAGGGATAGGCATGTGACTCAGGCTGGACAGTCATAGCATCACAACCCCATGGCCATAACGGCTGGTCAGAGGGTGGGCACTTGAGTCAGTCAAATGAGACTAAGTCTCAAGGCTTTTGCTACAGCAACCAGCAAAGAGGCATTCTCTTGGCATTGAGGTTTCTAAGAAGATAGGATATAAGCCTAGAGTTGTTGGTAACCAGTTTGCCACTCTGAGGTAAAAGCCTGCCTGAAAACCAGCCAGCAAAGAGTGAAGAAACACCAAGGTAAACATGGAAGACATTCTATGACCTCTTAGATCTATAGCCACTCCTGAAGCTTTGGCCTGTTCAATGGTAAATGCCCCTTTTATTTAACCAGTTTGTGTTGGTTTTCCATCATTTACATCCAAAAGAATCCTGACTAATATAGGAGCTTACCACCTAGTGTTATCAAACGTGCCCTGTAGTTATCTGCAATTAGAGGCTTCCTTTAGGAAAGAAGCACAGCCTCGTGAAACAGCATCTGTTCTGAGTGATTCACACGTAAGGCAGATCCCAAAGAATTCTTACCCTTGACCTAACTACAAATCATTTTTTGAAAAAGCAGACTTCACAACTGTCCTGAGATTGCCAATTACTAATAAAGGTGATGGAGGAGTAAATACTAGGATTAGCAATTGTCATTTAAGTAGTTTATTTTGGCAATACAATAGTGAGATTGTGTAAGCCCTTTCAAGAACCATGAAGGGGGGGGGTGAGCCCTTAGACACGGGCATACACCCCAGTCTCCTTTTCCGTCAAAGACAATGTTCTTTTATACACAGCTTAAAGACTGCTGTTTGACATGGATCTCAACTGACCAGATCACCAATGTGTGCCTGATGTGCAAGCAACTACTTTGAGATAAATTAGGCTTTCAGGTAGAGAAATTACTTATTTTAATCAAATAGAGTTCCATTAGGTATATTCATTTCCTCTTGGTATTTTTGCTATATTCTTTAAAAGTTAACAAATTTTGAAACTTGCAAACTTGAGATATAAGCTTTTAAACCTTTGAAAATACTGCTGGGAGGATAGTGATAATTATTATTTGGATTTTTTTGGAGCCTGGGATTAACCACTATAGTTTAAGAATGTAGTTTCCAAACTGTGTTCTACAGAACCCTAGGGTTCCATAAAGATGGACTAGAGCCATTGAGAAGGAGGAGGATGCCCTCCTTCTATCAGAGAAACTCTGTCTTTATAGGTTATTGCCTTAGGTTGGGCTCCCCCAGAAGCAAGCTCTGTGATAATCTGAGTAGAACTAGAAGTGGTTTATTTGGGAGAGGGTTCCAGGAAGCACAAGTTGGGAAGTGGGAAAATGAGAGAGGGAAGGAAAGGAGGCCAATAAAGGATATGATCCAGAGCAGATCAGTGTTTTGGGCATCTGGGGCTCAAACTCACTAGAGAAGTGTGGGAGACAGATGTTTTAAAATGTAGGTTTCAGGCTTCCCTGGTGGCGCAGTGGTCAAGAGTCCGCCTGCCGATGCAGGGGACGCGGGTTCGTGCCCCAGTCCGGGAAGATCCCACGTGCCGCAGAGCGGCTGGGCCCGTGAGCCATGGCTGCTGAGCCTGCGCGTCCAGAGCCTGTCCTTCGCAACGGGAGAGGCCACAACAGTGAGACGCCCACGTACCGCAAAAATAAAAATAAAAATAAAAAATAATAAAATAAAATGTAGGTTTCATTATTATTCAGGTATGGTAAAACCAACAGATCAGGGGATGACTGCCATTGAAAAGATAGCTCGTATACTCACAGATCTCAAGAGGAAAGGGCATGCCACACTATGGAGGGCCACATGGAAAGCACAAAGGTCAGTCACAAGGCAGTGGGAGTGTGGGGAAAGTGTGGGCAAGAGCCTTTATTGTGGCTTTCATGGGAAAGAACTGGCAAGGCAGGGTAAGCAGGCTTAGGACTGGCTCACTTGAAAGATTCTGGCAGACTCTGGGACATGGGAGCTGGCCCTGTTTGTCTGGTCCCTGGCCAGGGTGATTCGGTCAGGGACACTGGGGGCTCAGATTGCAAAAGCCCTGTGTGCAAGAGGCAGCTGGAGTCTGGGCTCCAGTTTGTTTGGTTTGTGTCTAACAAGTGCACTTGCACGTGAGACTTACTATCCCTAAGAAAAGGCTAGCCAGCCCTGGGAGGGGCAGTTTCTCGAGGGGCAAGGTCCCAGATGTCAAATCATCAAACATAGAAACCAGACAACGTGGTTATTACAACAGTGTATAGTTCTTCTGCCAGGGGTCTTTATCCATTAGTTCCCATCTGTCAGTGACTACAGCTGCTCCAGAGCACATTAACTACCTGACACTTCTGGTCGGGGGCTCATGTCAGAGTCACAGATGAAGGATGCTGCTGGCCTATAGAGGGGCTAAGGGGACATGTAGGGGGCCTCTGACAGCACCTGCCTCAGTTATATTACATACTCTGTGTCTCTGGGTAAGAGTTTATAAAATAAAAAGGGGGGTGTGCTCTGACTTAAAAAAAAGCTGTGAAAACTCTTTTTTTTTTTTTTTTTTTTTTGCGGTACGTGGGCCTCTCACTATTGTGGCCTCTCCTGTTTCGGAGCACAGACTCCGGACACGCAGGCTCAGCGGCCATGGCTCACGGGCCTAGCCACTCCACGGCATGTGGGATCCTCCCGGACCGGGGCACGAACCCGTGTCCCCTACATTGGCAGGTGGACTCTCAACCACTGCGCCAGCAGGGAAGCCCTGTGAAAACTCTTTTAAGGGGTATCAGGATGAGTCATCATTTGGAATCTAAACTTTGTCTTTGATTTATTTAGGTCTCAGGGTAAGATTCTGGTTATTGATGCTACCTCTGGCCTAGAGAATGAGTCCCTTACTTGTGCCTTGCAGGGGCTAGGTCACTGAGAGCAGAACCTCTTACAAGTTGAACTGTGAACAGTAATTAACAGGCAAGTCTAACCTGTGATAACAGGTAACACACACAGCAGGTAGCAGTGGACAGTGCCTGGAGTCAACAGTGGGGTGTGACAAAAATAGCACCCGAGGGGCTTCCCTGGTGGCACAGTGGTTAAGAACCCACCTGCCAACGCAGGGGACACGTGTTTGAGCCCTGGTCCGGGAAGATCCCACATGCTGCAGAGCAACTAAGCCCGTGTGCCACAACTACGGAGGCTGCATTCTAGAGCCCATGAGCCACAACTACTGAGCCTGTGGGCCACAACTACTGAAGCCCGTGCACCTAAAGCCCGTGCTCCACAACAAGAGAAGCCACCACAATGAGAAGCCTGTGCACCGCAATGAAGAGTAGCCCCCGCTCGCCACAAGTAGAGGAAGCCAATGCACAGCAACGAAGACCCAACGCAGCCAAAAATAAATTAAAATTTAATTTTTTTAAAAAACTTAAAAAAAAAAAAGAATAGCACCCAATAGCCTCTGTTTCTCTCCTTTTCTCTATTAATCTTTCTCTTCTCGTCCCAGTCTCTTGCTGACCCCATCTCCTTTCCTACCTGCCACCTCACCTGATTTGTGGTTATCTCTATTTTTCCCTTAACTGGTCAAAAATTTTAATTAAATCATTTCTTCAACAGACATTTCCTAAAAATTACCTATATAATCCCAGCATCAGCAGGCCATCAAAGGGCCTTAAGAATCTGGCCTGACCTTTTGTTAGGCAGTGGAGACGCACCTCTGCAGAAAAAAGTTTTGTTCATTCTCCTTATAAAATACCTTAACGGAAATTTTCATTTCTCAAATAATTTCCAAACTCAGTTCCTCTTACTTGTACAGGGCTTTTGATTCATTTTCCAAGTATCAGCAGGA